GTCTGCTCTTCAATACTGAGGAGTATGTTCACTTGCTCAACCACCTATTTTCATTCATTCATTCATTTCCAGTGAATATTTAGTGGGTGCCTTCTACGTGTGGGTGCTTCGCCAGCTGCTAGGAATAAAGCGGTGACCAGTCCTTGCCCTCATGGAGTTCAAGGTTGGATGGGACAGATAGGCTTTGAACAATCACACAGACTACACCTGCCCTTACTGCAGGTGTGCCGGACACCTTCCGGTTACCCCTCCGGATCCCCCCTCTGCCGCCTCCACCCTCCTCTGCCTGCTGCAGGCCGATCGCTGCCGACTTCATCAAATGGCTCTTCTGTTCTCTGCCTGCAGGTTGGACTGGGCCCCTGGGGGGCCTGGCCGGAGACCGGAGGGAGGGAGGAAGATGCAGCTGGGGTATTTCTTCCCCCAGGTCACTGGTTATTGGCTGTGTCCTTACTGAAGGCTGCGGCTCTGCACCCAGCTCTCAGGTTCTGTGCAGCTTCCTTCCCCGCAGGCCACGGGCTGGTAATGGTGCCGCCGTTTCTCATCCTGAGCACGTTGTGTTTCCTTCACCCTGCTCGTCTTTGTACTGGATCCTCTGTTACACTCACCCGGTTACCTCGACTACCTCCCCAGCCTCTCACCTGCTACTGTCCCCCTTCCCACACTTAGACCTGGAAACACCCATCTGCTTGTTTCCTGTTTCACCCCGCTTTTTGCACATGCTCTGTCTCCCAGCAGGAGTTCCCTCTCTCTCTCCTGTGCCTGGAAAACCCCAGTAATCTGGCAAAATTCACTTAGATGTTGCTCACCTCCACCAGGAAAGCTCTCCCCCTTTTGCCTTGGCTCCTCATGGCCATCAGCCAAGCCGAGCTCCACAGAGGAGGGAACAGAACCATGCCCGGCCCTCTAAGGTCCAAATAAGGAGCCATTTTTAAAAATCCTTATCAGCAGATTTAGAACAAAGTTTGAACTGCATATATGCCGTGGTTGCCATGGTTACTGTAAAGGCATTCTAAATGTAGATGGTTATATAACCAACTGGAATGACTTTTGGGGGAGAAAAAAGTTTTGACCCTTTTCTTGCACTGATGACCCTCATCTTGCAATGAACGACTCACTGGCCCAAGGATTGTGGGTGGTGACTCTGCATGAGGTCCCAATGGAGTGATGCGTTTGGGCTGCAGGGCAGCAGTAAGACTTACCTACAGAGTGCCCCATGCCACTACCCAGGACAGGGTTCTCATTCTGCAGATGGGAAAACTGAGGCCTAGGGAGGGGAAGTGACTTCCCCTGAGGCTCACAGAGAGCTAGAGCCTGAACCAGGACTACCTGCAGGGTGCCACGGGGGAAGGAGCCCCGAATTCAACATGAGACAACTGCAATATGAACCTTGGCTCTTGGAGCCTCCGTTTTTTAAATTTATGATTATTACTTATATCAGTCAGCATAATTCGTGTTGGTTGCTGTAACAAACATCTCCAAAATCTCAGTGGCTTTTTGACAATAAATGTTTTGTTTTTTGCTTATAACACTGTACATTTGGGCACTTGATGGGTGACCTTCCACAGGATGTCTTGGGAACCAAGGCTCCTTTCATCTCTTGGCTCTGCCAATCAAAGGATCTTGAAGAGCAGATGACGGCATATGATGCTAGGTGGACACGTATGATGACAAGGAGGGTGGATCCATGCATCTCAAGGAAGGAACATGGAAAAAAATCTGTCCCCTAGTCAGGGATATTTATGTGGATTGCTACATTTTGGCATTTGTTTGTGACTTTAGCTAAACTTAACCTGCTTTAATATAAAGTGTGAAGGTCTCTGGAGCCGAGCAAGGAGGGGACCTATTAAAGCCTTCCACTCGCACAGGCTCTGTCCTCAGCTCCATGTTGAAACTCATCTTTTTGGGAGGCCACACTAGGGTGGGGGAGGAATGTGGGAGGAACATAGATTTTGGAGTCAGAGGAACATGCATTCCAGCTAGTGAGCAGAACTAGGAATTTCCAGCACAGCCTGCCCCGCTTATAACTTTTCGTAGAAGAACATGAGCATTCCCTAGTTCTCTTGATCACGTTCCATCATGTTCTCCGTCTCCACCTGAGGTGACATCCTTGCTTAGCTTTCTTCTTCCTTGCCCCCTGCCCCCCACCTTGTCCTGCTTCCCTCTGCCCCTTTCTCTTAAGGGACTCCCTCAATAAGTCACTTGTCCAAGAATCCCCATCTCAAGGTCGAGATGGATTTCCAGGAAACAAAGACCGAGACCTTGATTCTCAACAGGTGTTCGCTTTCAGGCTCCAAAAGATTTGGTCTTGTGTTTCCTATCTTGGGACTCTGGGTAATCTATTTTCTTTGATTGAGTTAGCATGGGGTCTTTCTGTTTCTTGCAGCTCAATAAGTTCAAATTGTGAGAACTCAGTCAAGTTACTCAACTATTCTCAGTTTCACTCCATCTGGCAAATGGTGCTCATTATTCTTTCACCTTCGGTGCTTGCGTTGGTGACTTAATAAGAGAATGCATGCGACAGCTTCCAGCTTTGTGAATGGCTCCGAGTAGGCACTCTATTAATGACTTCTAGTTTCCCTTACAGTGTTCCCTTCCTCCCTTGCTCAACTCAATTCAGGCTGGAGAAGCGTGAAGAGAGACTGTGTCGGAATGCTGTAGGACTTTCAGAGGGCCATGGAAATGAGGGAATTCAAAGAGGATGGAGTTTAGAGTCCCAAAGATCCAAGTTCAGCTCTCCAGCTGGTTGCTTCTCAAATGACAAGGATCACGTATGTCACTTGGGGATCTTGTTAACATGCAGATCTCGATCCGGGAGGTCTGGGAGGAGCCCGAGGTGCTGCCTTTGAACCAAGCTCCAGGTGGTGTCCATGCTGCTGGTCCTGGGAGCAGCAAGACTTGGAGCTGCAAAGCTCTAGTCTGTCTTTTGTTCCAGAGTGATCTTTCTCCTCCCCAACAGCCGACCTGAAAGGCAGGCTCTTCCCTTTCTGTTTCATTTTTCACACCCAGCATGGTATGGTTCCTGCCAATAAGGAGATGTCGGTGGTTGAGGCGGCCAGGAAAGCTGTCACCTGTGAAGTGTGTCGCAAGTAGAGCTACCTGGAGCAGATGCAGGAGGCTGGTGAGGGGCACTTGCTCCTGGTCTGTCACCCAGCACGGATACCTCCGGACTCCTAGCCGCTGCTCTTTGAAGCAAGGACCACACCCCTAGCCTCCCAGGATTGCTTTGCCATCTCCTGGTGTCTGGACCCTCATCTGGGTGCCCTCCATTTGGGACGAAACTATCCACACCTGAGTCCACCATGTCCCTTTGGCTATGACCTTGGGCCTCCCTGCTCTCTGCATGTTAGAGGTCCCAGCCTACCTCTCCCTGATCCAGGACCTGTTTTGACAGTGACCATCAGGAAAGGTTCAGGTAGTTCCAGATATGAGGAAAACAACAACAACAACAACAACAACAAAAACCTATGTTCTTTTCACAACATTAAATGCATTTTCTCCTTTAATTATGATCTTGGCCAAGTCCTTCAGACATTCTCCTTTCTAAACCGAGATAACTGTTCCTCGCTCACGGCTGCCAGCAGCTGGGCTGGGTTTCCTCCATCTGCTTGTTTTCTACTTGGATGTTCTCCTTTCTTTGTTCCGTTCTTCCCTCAGGGTTCACCGAGTAGAGGCATCGTCCCAGAATAGCCACCGCTGGCCTGTAGGGGGCCGGAGGTCTGCTTATCGCCAAACCCCCTTCTGTTGGCACATCTAAAGTTTGCTCTTACAGCCTGGAAGTGACTGGGCGCAGAACAGGCCCCTAAGTAGCTGAGTCATCCTTTCTCTAACCAGTGCTAAGAAATTTCTACAAACATGCCTCACCCCTGTTAGAAGGGCTTTTATCAAAAAGAATAAATAATAAGTGTTGGCAAGGATGAGGAAAAAAGGGGACACTTGTGTACTGTTGGTGGGAATGTGAATTAGTACAGCCACTATGGAAAACAGTATGGCGGCTTCTCCAAAGGCTTTAAAAAATTAAAAACAGAACTACCATAGGACCCAGCAATCCTCCTTCTGGCCATGTCTCCTGAGGAACCGATACCAGGATCTGGAAGAGAGATCTGCACTCCCAGGCTCCTTGCGTTATTATTCACAGTAGTCAAGACACGGAAACAACCTAGGTGTGTGTCAAAAGATGAATGGATAGAGAAGAGGTGGTGATATGCAATGGAATATTATTCAGCCTTAAAGAAGAAGGAAATCCTCTCATTTATAATGTCACGGATGAACCTGGAGGACACTGTGCTAAGTGAAATAAGCCAGACAGAGACAAAAACGGCATGACCTGACTTCTATGTAGAATCTAAAATAGCCAAACTCAGAAGAAGGGAGTTGAATGGTGGTTGCCAAGGGCTGGGGGAAGGGGAAAATGGGGAGATGGCCAAAGGGTACAAAGTTTCAGTTATACGAGATGACTAAGTTCTGGAGATCTGATACTGTATAACACGATGACTTGTGTATTTTATGCTTGAAATTTGTTTAGAGAGTAGATCTTAAGTGTTCTCATCACATGAAAAAAAAAAGAAACTGTGAGTTTATGGACATGTTAATTAGCTTGATTGTGGTGATCATTTCACAGTATCTGCATATATTAAGACATCAGGTTGTATACCTTAAACATGTACAGTTTTATTTTTTTATCTTTACTGTTGAAAGTAAGATGTACTGTCTTTTTTCCCCATTGACCCCCTCCTCCCCGCTCTCACCCCACTCCTGCCTTCCCCACACTGTTGTCTGTGTCCATTGGTTATAAATATATGCATGTAAGTTCTTTGGTTTATCTCTTCCCCCACCCCCCACCCCATTTCCCTTCCCTCTGAGGTTTATCAGTCTGTTCCCTACTTCCATGTCTCTGGATCTATTTTGTTTGTCAGCTTATTTTGTTCATTGTATTCCATAAACAAGTGGGATCATGTGGTATTTGTCTTTCTCTGACTGGCTTATTTTGCTCAGCATAATACTCTCCAGGTCCCTCCATGTCGTCTCAAAGGGTAAGAGAACTTTTCTTTTTTACAGCTGCATAGTGTTCCACTGTGTAAATGTACCACAGCTTTTTATCCACTCTACTGATGGGCACTTGGGCTGTTTCCAATCTTCCTGACTGTAGATAGTGCTTCTATGAACATGGGGTCATGTATTCTTTCTGATTGGTGTTTCAGGCGTCTTAGGATATATTTGAGAAGTGGGATCACTGAGTCAGTGGCAGTTCCATTTTTAATTTTTTGAGGAAACACAATATTGTTTTCCATCGTGGCTGCAACCTATACAATTTTAAGTCAGCTTATACCTCAATAAAACTGTTAAAAAAGAGCTAACATACATTAGTAATTTTTATCACTAAATGGAGGCGAATGAAATGGAAAATCACAGGAAAGGTTTAGTACCATTGGTCAAAAAACTCCCGGAATGTTGAGGTCTTGTTTGATATGGAAGAGGGGACAGGGTCCCCTGGAGTGTCTGGCCCCTTGGTGGAGGAGGATTGCTCTTGATAGATGACGCTAATGCCATATCTGGGTGCCGCATGCTTACATCCAGAACGCCACGTCCCGCAGAAGGGGCCCTTGCCTGCAGTCTGATGGGGAATACAGACAATGCCCCAATCCCCGCGGAAAATGGCTGCACTCAGCTCCCCAAATTCTGTTTTTCCATATTTATATATGCTGTTACCCAGTGAATACCTGATTAAGGAATGCAGCTGCCAAATGAATACATTTGTTGCTCATCAAATAGCACCATAAAGCCAGTGATGATGGGGCTTATTAAAATGCTCCTTTCACTCAGTGAAAAATCCCACACATGTCCCAGCCAGTCTCAATATCGCAGCTAATGAAATGGGTAACCAATGCACAAAGAGATGTATTCAAGAGCAAATTAACTGCCTCAGGAATATGCACCATAAAGATTGCAGCCTGGAAAATAAATAGACAGTGTACTGGGCAAATTGGCCTCGTGTTTAAGTGTTGATGGGTTGGAAATATTGGTTTAGCTTCTTGAGAGAAGCAGGCAGTATGGAATCCTGGAAGGCAGACATTAGCAAGGAAAAGTCAATGCGGGGGCCTCTCCCTCACTAGGACGGGGGGAGGGGGGAGGAGTGAGCAGACATGCATTGAGCCATTGCTAAGTGCCTGGCCCTGTGCTGGTGCTTGTGTGTTGCCACTGAGTCTTTACATCACCCAAAGAGGTGGGACCCCTATATTTTTGGCCTCACCTACTTGTGAGCACATGATGAGATTACAGAAAGAGATTTTGTTTTTGTCTGTCCAAACAATTAGTACACAGCTTCTATCAGATTAAAAAAAAAATAACTTTTTAAAAACAGCTCCATAGATGTTTCTGAGCATCCTTGATCCCTTGCTGATGATCTAAAAAAAAAAAAAAAAAAAAAAAAAAAAAAAGATTTATCTTTGTTTCTTATGCTTCAAATTTTTGTTCTCTGGGTGCCTTGAACAAAGGGAAGCAGCAGCCTGCAGTTTGAATGCCCATTCCTACAGTGGCTCCTCTAAGACCCAAGGTTTGTTTTTGTTTTTGTTTTTTTTATGTATGTCTTTTTAAATTCATTTCAGAGAGAGCAAGGGAGGGGGGAGAGAGAGAGAAACATCGATGAGAGAGAAACATCCATTGGCTGCCTCCTGTATGCCCCCTACTGGGGATCAAGCCTGCAACCCGGGCATGTGCCCTGACCAGGAATCGAACCAGCAACCTTTTGGTGCACAGAATGATGCCCAACCAACTGAGCCACACTGGCTGGGCCCAGGGTTTGGTTTTCATGCTCTTCCTCCTGAGTCCAGTCTACAGACACACATACAGCTTGAGGAGAAGGCAATGTGAGGGCTTGAAGTCACATGGATTTGGGACATGTGATCTTGGACAGGCCACCTGACTCTCCTGAGTCCCGTTGCCCTCCGCAAGGGGGAAGATGATACTGTCTCCCGCACAGGTCAGGCAGGAGGAACTGACGAAGTAACAGGCGGAAAGTTTCTGGGATGAAGATTCCCAAACACCATTCACCCCTGGGTTCTGATCTGTTTCCTAATTTTCACTGGCTTGCTTTCTTTCAAAAAGCACCAGCAAAGGCATTAATTGAAAGGAAAGTCTCTGCAGCTGTGGGCCCAGCCCCTCCAGAGGGACTGAATGAGCTGGCTCTGTGTGCGGCAGGGCCACCAAGAGACAACACAGCCCCAAGTGCTGACACACACGCCCTCTGCACCGGCTCAGGCAGCATTTTCACGATCACGTTGATGGTTTTATTTATTTCTTATTTTATATTGGTATGTTTGATGTGATATGCTTGTGATACTTCATTTTAGTCTGATTAGTATGGTGATTGTTTGTTAAGAAAAGCTGGTGAATTGTTGGGGCGAATCCCCTGACCCATTCCAGGCTAATTAACAGCAAGTTTCCATTTGAAGGAAACAGACTCCGAAGGGCTGGAAGGGCTGTGCACCCCATTTGTTTACTGGTGCGTGCCTCTGATTGGGCTCCCCCAGAAGCAGACAAAGTTGTGAATGCAAATGGTTTCCCTGGGAGGTGAACTGAAGGAGAAATGAAAGGGGGTTGGGGGACAGGAGAAGTGGCATGGAAGGGAAAGTATAGAATGCCTTATTGGGCAGGTTACTGCGACTGGCCACAGGGGACATCTGGTAGACCGCATAGAACACGAATCACAGTTTTTCCACCTGAAGGTTACTTGTTGGTTGACACCTGGGGACATCTGTTCCCTAGCATTTCTAGCCTGCACATGGAGACACTCAAGAGAGAGTGGTACGTGCTGACGGTAGAAACCATCACCTGGCACAGGAATGATGAGAGCCAAGGGGATGTGGGTCAGGCACTGATGGCATCTGCATGAACTTGCAAATCTGGGATCTACAGAACGTCCCACACTGGCCACGATGTGTTTCTGTATCTGTCTTTCTCTCCGGACTAGGAGCTCTCGGAGGACAGGACTGTGTCTAGTTTTATCCCCACTGTCCAGCACCAGCTTGGACCAGAACAGCACTCGGCAAACACCTGCTGGCAGATTGACTGGGCAGGGAGTAAGTGGTCGAAGACTTGAGAATGCACAGGACAGAAATCGCAAACTCAAATGCCTACAAGGGCCAGGGGGAGGGTTACATGAGTGACATGGTTCAGAAAGAAGAAAAATAGGAAGGTGAGGTTGTGGGGACCTGGAGGACACATGTCCTGTCTATGGGGACAGATGCTCAGTCCTGAATGACTGTCACCTTGTGGGAATTGGACCCACGATGGCTGGACCTCTTGACTTTTAAAAAATGAAAAGCCAGGACTCCAGAATTTTATGTGAAATCTGTTGATTTTTAAATATGGCCGATGACATACAATGTTTTTGGAAATAAGAGGCAGATCCCTCAGACTCGTCTGGGTGATATAACTCATTGCCAGGTGTACGTGGTCACCTCGCTCCCTAGGGCAGAAGACAGCACAGAGCCCTTCGAGGGAGGCGGGGGCTTCCAGGTCCCAGAGGTCCTCACTGAGCACACCACCCACCCTGCTGCCAGGCACGGTGTGTCCTTGAATGTTCATGGATTAGTAATGGATAGTCTGGTAGGTTCATGTAGTTCCTTAGGCAGGAGGCTTGGGTTCTAGTGCTGGTTGACTAGGGGGAAAATCCCTCGATTCCCATTTCTATGAATTAGGTACATAAGGCCTGACCTCTTTGTGGCAAGGGTTAATACATTGAATGGGACAGTCCTTTATAAACTCTAAGTCCAAGCGGGATTGTTGCCCTTCCCAGAGCCCTCCATGCTCCAATTGAGGGCTGTTTCCTTGGCCTTGGGTTCTTCTAGGTTCTTTTTCCTTCCCTACCCTAAGCCCTCTTGGTCAGGCTCCTATCTGGTGGCCTGTGTCATGATCTGCCTGTCTTTGCCAGATGCCTGGCAGCATGGTGGGTGGTGTGCTCAGTCGGGACCTCCACTTCTGGCACGCCACCGTCTGGACCACTCAGCCTGTGTTTGCAGCTTGCAGTTCATGAGTCCGAGAAGCAAATATGAAAGCAGTTCCCATTTTTGAGGCACTCACCACCTAGGGGAGGCAGACCCTACTCCATGGCACAAATGCTAAGCGGCAGTGGCCTTCCTTTGTTTACCAGGCCCTCTTCCTTTTTATCTGGCATGCACCTAAAACTACAGTTCCCAGGGTCCCTTGCAATTAGGCGATATCACATGACTGAGTTCTGACCAATGGAATGTGGGCAGAAGCAATAACCTGCATGGCCCACAAACATTTCCTGTGTAATTCTCCACACTCTTTCTTTCACCATCCACTGGATGAAAGGACAGAACTCCAAACACTGAGATAAAGGTGTAGCCACAAGGTAGAAAGGACTTGGGTCCCTAATGACAGGCACATAGTAGAAATTTCCACACCTCCAAATGACCTGTGTTGTACAGTGATGTGAAAAACAAACATTATGGTGCTGCGCCACTGGGATTTTGGGGTTGTTTTTTACGTCATTTTGCCTACTCTTTCTTATACAGCACCCTAAGGGGGAGTGTCTTCAGAACGCCTCAGGGACCCCCAGCCTCCTTAGCGGAAGGCCTTCTGTTGGGGAAAGGGCTGGACTTCAACTCAGAGTTCATTAGGGAGTTGTAGGCTCTCTACCAGGGCAAGGGGAGTGTGGAGCTGGGGATTTGGGCAGATCTGCCTCCACGTATTTTAGATTAAACACAGTTCAATGAATTTTGTAACACCCCTCAAGGTGGAGAGAAAGAACTCCAGGCAAGATAACTGTCCCAAGTTGTGGGTGAGAGTTGCATTTCTTATCCTCCAGAAATTCTCAGTGCAATACATCTCAGTGGTGTAGGGTTGACTCAACTCCTTCAAGGGTAGCTCAAGACCATGAGTTGCTCTTGGCAAATGGTTCTACTTCTGAGAGTTTCTCTTCTGGCTCACTATGTGAGCCGTTGGCAGTAGGACTGAACTTTGCAAGGCAGGCAAAGATCGCCAGAGCCTGAAGCGCCACACGCATCTTCTGTCCTGCCCCTGAGGACCTGGGAGAGAGAATGTGTTCTCCACTCTGGCATATCTGCTGCAGAAGAAAATGGGGAGTACAGCCCCCCGATCATTTGGGACAGATGTATGTAAGGAGTCAACCTCTTTGCTGGATGTTTATACCATCTCCATGTTCCCCCAGGATTGGATGACAAGGTTCAGAAACCAACTTTGGCTAACTCTCAGAAAGCAGAGGCTGTCGAAGTCCCCAAATGGAGGTGCACTGGAGAATCGAGGCAGCTCCTGAAGGTGGGAAGAGGAACAGTGTGGGATGGGATAGACCCCCTACTTTGGCAGTTTCTATGTCCCTCTGTTCAAGACTTAACTTTCAGTGAAAGAAGCCAGTTACACAAAGCATGAGACGTTACGGGGCATTCCCAGAGAGATGTACAGGCTTTGAGGACCCCTAAATTCCCCTCTGGGGATGTTCAGTTTTGGATGACGCCGCTGCTGGATGAGAGAAGTTAGCCTTTGTCATTCTCGGGGGTTGTTATCCTTTCTGGGTGCCCCTCTCCCCCAACCATTTTGAACAGTCTGGCAATAACCAGTAAAATACAGCTTTTTTGCCCTGCTGAGCAATGACTGTGACCCTGGAGAGACGCAGAAGAAAATTTTCTAGACATAGCATCACTCAGTAGGTCCAAGCCTCAAAGCTACCTGAGGTCTATTCCTGGGGTGGGATTGATTTAATTCTGTTTGCTTCTTTCTTTCCCCTAATAACTTATCCTTCAGGTCCAGGTGCCTCAGTGTTTCTTAAAATTAACCAGTGATCCCAAGTCAATGCCTAAGCCTAGATGTGCGAGAGTGGTGTGGGCCATGATTGCTCCTGCTTATGCTGGGAAGAGGGGTGTCTGCGGGGACCTGGGTGACCAGATGGTTCTGAGAGGAAGCCCCATTTCGGGGATCTCCAAGTACAGTAGTCACCCCTAATTCCTGGTTTCACTTCCTGTGGTTTCAGGTACCCGGACAACCATGGTCTGAAAATATTAAATGGAAGATTTCAGAAATAAACAATTCACGCATTTTAAAATTTTTTTAATTATTTTTATTTTAACCTCACCCTAGGACATTTTTGCATTTATCTTCAGACAGAGCAGACGGAGAGAGGGAGGAAGAGAGATAGAGAGAAACATCAATGTGAGAGACACACATTGACCGGGTGCCACTCACACAACCCCAACCGGGGCTGGGGACAAACTGCAACCGAGGTACATGCCCTTAGCGGGAACCGAACCCGGGTCTCTCTGGTCCGCGGGCTGATGCTCTAACTGCTGAGCCAAACCAGCCAGAGCAATTCACACGTTTTAAATTGTGTGCCCTTCTGAGCAGTGTGATGAAATCTGGTGTGTCCCTCTCCGTCCGGTCCAGGACATGAATCATGCCTTCATCCCTGCCCATTAGTCACTCAGTAGACACCTTGGTCATCAGATCAAATGTCAGGGTATCACTGTGCTTGAGTTCGAGTCACCCTTCTTTTACTTATTGATGGCCCCAACGCACAAGGGTAGTGATGCTGGCATTTCAGGTATGCCAAAGAGGAGCCTTAAAGTGTCTCCTTGAAGTGAAAAGTATGTGTGCATCGGAAGAGACAGAGTCTATCCAGAGTTCTCAGCACTATCTGTGGTTTCAGGCATTTGTTGGGGGTCTTGCAATGTATCCCCTGCAGAGAAAGGGGGAATACTGTAGAGACAATAATTTCAGAAGAGCAGCATAAAACAAATTCTCCGGACAAAGAGGCACTGGATGAGCCCATTGAATGTATTGGAAACAAACTCTTGAGACCTGAAGGTTTCACCAGGGCCTGTAACACTTCACTCTTTGGTCCCCTGGGTGGTGGCACCAGGAGGCAGGTACCTTTCTGAACACACTAATTTCTGCCTATGGGTAGTAAGGATGGATCTTTCAGAAGAGAGAAAATCAAATCAGAGCAAAGATCACCATGGGAGAGAGAAGGAGAAGATTTTACAAGGGCAGCCTTGGTAATGTTTTATTCCCTCTTTAAATGTTCATTAATGTGATATCCAATGGCTTTATTTATCTCTTAAGGCATTTATAGAGTATTTTCAGTGTGCGAGGCCCTGGGAGGGATGGCTGCAAATACAAGAAAGGTACGAGCCCTGCCCTCAGGGGAGCGATAAACTGGGGTAATGATAATAGGTATTATTTATAGGATGCTTTACAGTTTGCAAGGCGCCTTTTATGAATATCGTAATGCTATTGATCGCGGATAATATTCATTCAGTCTTGTTTTAGTTGAGTGTCCTGAGTGCATCGGGAAATGGAAGCGCAGAGAGGTTGAGTAACTTGTCCAAGTTCACACAGCTTGTCAGCGAAGGGACTGAACCTGAAGTTTGACCCTCTGTTTAAACTTCTTGCCTTTCTAGCCAAGGAGGTAGATACATAGGCAAGTGATAGGATGAACTGCAGGAATATTAGAGAAGAGGAAGAGGAGGATGCTAGCTGTGAACTAACCATAGAGCATAAGGGGTAGTGTTGGTGTGAAAAGAGTGCACTCCTTCATCTCTCTATTTCCTGCCTCGAATCCTTCACACTGTTGCAGAGATTATTTTTCTACAATATAAATCTGATTGGACCACCTCCAAGCTTGAAATCTTCCTCTGGCTTTTCTTGGCCTCCATGGTGAAGTTGGTGTTGCACACTGGAGATTTGCATGTTATTGTTGTGCGGTTTTGTCCAGCAGTGTCTCCCCAGATAGCATGGAAGAGGAAGGTGGTTGATCATTTAGGATTGGGCGATGGCCAGGAGAGGTGACAGGAAGACGGAGGGGTGAGGCAACACAGTGATCATAGGTCATAGGATCCAAGTGACAGAGGGAGGTGGGGAAGGCAGGGAGGCACCTGGGTGGGAGTAAGAGGAGAGGCAGATGGTTTGGAGGTCCTGATGTTGCAGAACGGCTGCGGTGGAATGCTTGGGCATGCAGGCTGGTGGAGAGGAGGCTGCAGGGAGAGTGTTGATGCGTGTTTTCCAAAGAGGCAGGTAGATGCTGCTAAAGTTCAGGGAGTGACCCACCCAGTGGGTGACTGGTAGAATAATGACGCCTCCCCCAAAGATGCCCATGAGAGAGAGACAGATTGAAAGAGAAAACACCCCTTGAAGACAGAGAAGGGGCCATGAGCCACGGAATGCAGGTAACTTCCAGAAAAGTCAAGGAAGCAGATTCTTTCCAGGGCCCCAGAAGGAACACCGCCACTCCAAACTCCCATCTCCAGAACTGTGGAACAACATTCGTGTCATCAGTCTGGTACAACAGCACTGGGAAAATAACAGTGACCAAGAGGATGGAGAAAGAAGCGTTGGGATGAGCCTTCACATCCTGGTTCTCTGTTCCCGGCCGACTCCTCACCAGTTTCCAGAAGGAGGACCCGCGTTGCTCCAGCCAGCTCGCCCCTCCACCGTGCACAGCAATTATTTAAAGCTTTCCTCACTCTCGTCACACCTCTTAGCTGTTCCTCCCCCGACAGCCAGGTCCCGCTGCCAGCAGTCGACCTGCCTCCCGAGGTCATTCAGGGTGAAGCCAGGGAGCTGGGACGAAGGCGTCACGGCACGAGGCACTGTTTCCAGGAGGTTACATAACTATGGGGAGGGGAAGAAGATACGATGCATCTGAGTCTCCAAGGTGCAGGTGATTTTATTTTATTATTATTCTTTTTTTAATCCTCACCTGAGGATATTTTTGTGTTTATCTTCAGAGAGAGTAGGGGGCAGGGGGAGAGAGAGAGAAACATCAACATGAGAGGGACACATTGACTGGTCGCCTCCCGCACGACCTCACCAGGGCTGGGGACACACTCAACTGAGGTACGTGCCCTTGACCTGAATCGAACCCGTGACTCCTTGGTCCATGGGCTGACACTCTAACTGCTGAGCCAAACTGGCCAGGGCTCAAGATGCAGGTGATTTTAAAGACAGAGGAGGTGTACTGACTGGTCTGATTGGGTTCCTTAAGCAATGAAAAGTAATGGTTAAGGGGCTCTATATTGGAAACTGAGAAAGATTATTTTTTAGGTGTTTGAGGAGGAAAAGAGCAGGCAGGAGGAGAAGGCAGAGGAGGAGCCTTCAAAATGGCAGCAGGCTGGGGACCAGTGGGGGTGATAGGGCAGCTGAAATGACCGTAAGAGCAGCTATGCAATGCGCAGTTTAAAGTCATTTGTCATTTTGTAAGTGTGTCTCCTGACCGTGGCCTTCCAACATCTTTGCCAAAATGTTCTGTATTGTTTTTTTGTCCCATGTGCTTGCTTTTATCAGTGGGTTTTGGGAAATCAAAGATGGGATTGGTTTTAGCTGGGGGTCAGCTTGATGTGGAATAAAGATAGAATGTGTGGAGGCAGGAATCTGGAGGCTGAGGTGAGAATCCATCCATCCATCCATCCATCCATCCATCCATCCATCCATCCATCCATCATCCATTCATCATCCATTCATCTACCCATTTGCTAATTGATTCATTCAACAAGTACTCATTGAGCGTCTATCATATACTTGGCTCGGTTCTGAGGCATCTATCACATACTTGGCTCGGTTCTGAGCGCTGGGGATATTGCAATAAGAAATGCAGATACCCTGCTTTTGGAAACATCCAGTCAGTGTGAAGGGGAGACCACAGAGCAGTAACTGGATGGGTTACCGGGGCAATTTCAGACAGTGGTAATACTATGAAGACAACAAGAGCAGTGGTTCTCAGAGTGTCCCTGTACTGGTAGCATTAGCACAACCTGGGGACCTACGAGAACTCTACTTTCTCAGGCTTCACCTAGCATATTGAAAGGGAAACTCTGGGGGTGGGGCCCAGCAATCTGTATCTGAAGCCCTCAAGGTAGATCGGATACGTGCTCAAGTTTGAGATCCCTGTTACAGGGAGTGACAATGTTGTGACTGAGGTAGTCAGGGAAGGCCTCTCAGAGGCGGTGACATTTGAGTTGAGATCTCAGCGATAAGAGAAATCTAGCCACGTGAGCCTTGAGATGTTCCAGGCAGAGGGCAGAGCAAGGGAAAAGGCCTTGAGGCAGGAGCAGGTTGGGGGTTTCATGGGACTGAAAGCAAGGCCAGTGTGGCTGGAGTGTGGGGTACAGTCGTGCGAATTAATGATAAAAGACAAAGCTAGTGACATGCTGGTTGCTCTTTAGATGTTTATTCTTTTCATAGGGAAGTGGTCTTTGGCCAGTTGCATTGGAAGGTATACATAGGGATTCTTTTTCAAGGTAAAATAATTAATTTAAATAAAAAAAGTAATACATATACAAATTTTTCTTATAAATGGATTTCTTGGCCCCTCAGGAAGCTGCACGCTATCTTGGGGAGATTACTGTGGGCTAGGAGGCAGGGGACTTGGGAACTAACCCCGGGTGGCCTGGTCACCGCTCCTTTCTGGGTCCCATTTCCCCGTCTCTAAGGTTAGAAAGGGAGGGGCTGGGAGCAATCAGCTGACCAGTCCTGAGCCCCGAAGACTGCTGACAGCCCCTTAAGGGAAGGTCTAGTTCCTTTCCTGCTCCCTCACCTCCTCTCCTTCCTGATTCCACCTTGGACATGTTTGGGGCCCGGCAGGAGAGAGGCACATGGGTTCCCCTGGAATGACCAGCTATGTCAAATGGCGGTTTTGAAATGTGCTTTGAATATACAGTGATGCTGGGAGCGAGCTCCACGCTCTTAATGGCAGTTTTCTTTATAGTTATTGTCCTGCTGCCGAGCCCAGCCGTTTTAGTTCTTACAAATGGACGTCTTGTGGAAAGAATAGTAAACAGAGCTGCAAAATCAAGCGCATGGCGTTTGGACTTGACGCTTCAGGATTGGGGGAGAGGGTGGAGGCCAGGCATGGACCTTCTCCTTTAACTGGGGCGCGTTGGCAGGCCCCTCTGAGCCTCTGTCTCCTCATCTGCAAAATGGGGCTGATCCCCTTCCACTGAATTAAATAAGATGATGTGTGCCAAGGGTCTGGCGCCCAGTAGGAGCTCAGTATTGTCTGTGCTTGTCTTTTGTCCTCCCCTG